CTGCATGTAGTTAAGACTCATTTCTTGGATAGTCCTTTGCTGTTATGTGATATTAATGCAAAATTTAATTGAATTCTTAAAGAACACCCTAAGTTTGTTTCTGAAGCTTATCTCAAAATCTATCTTTGGATGAAGATCAGAAGCCTCATGACCTGCAACCAAGGACTGGAAAAAGACATAGTTTAAGGGACTGTCTCCAACCTGGATGGAAGGACTTTTTTATCAGGTACTCTTAACTGGCTCATGCACAATGAAACTGAAGGGAAATTAACTCTTAGACTAATTCCCACTTCCAAAGGTCCCTACACTGGATTGGGCTATAGAGAAGACAGCTGACCTGATCTCACCTTAAAATGATGCTCAAACATGAGAAACTACACTACACAAGGATGAGAAGATGACATCAGAGGTAGACAGTTTGCCCAAGATGCTGGACCTGATTCATATGATCATTTATAATGTTTTCTTGACTTCTTAGACCTTTGCGTATAAATCAAATGCTTTTCTATCATAGGCCTGATCCTATGCTAGTTTTAGAAATCAATCCAGTTGTTGGGTTTGTGGCCAATTACCTGTGTCTAGTTCTGGGTTACTTTGGTAAATTTCTCTACTACAAGGCTCTAACTGGTTGGCACTGAAAAATTTACTTAAAAAAAAATTATAGTCATATTCAGGTCACTGTGATATTACTAAATGAGATCCCCTCACCAGGCCAATTAATAATGCCTGCTCTGACTCTGGCCATAAGTTTGAGCTTTTTTCTATTACTCAAGCTCAATAAGAGCAACAAGAAAAGTTTCAACAGAGGAAGAAAACATCTCCCACACTTATGAGATGGATTTATATAGATCACACCAGGCTATGGTAATTTAGGTTTAAAACCTCCTCTGTGTTGGAAACAATTAAATCATACTAAGGAGAGAATAGCCAGGAGAGATAAGAAAGCCTTCCTCAGAGATCAATGCAAAGAAATAGAGGAAAACAACAGAATGGGAAAGACTAGAGATCTCTTCAAGAAAATTAGAGATATCAAGGGAACATTTCACGCAAAGATGGGTTTGATAAAGGACAGAAATGGTATGAACATAACAGAAGCAGAAGATATTAAGAAGAGGTGGCAAGAATACACAGAAGAACTGTAAAGAAAAGATCTTCACGAGCCAGATAATCACAATGGTGTGATCACTCACCTAGAGCCAGACCTCCTGGAATGTGAAGTCAACTGGGCCTTAGGAAGCATCACTAGGAACAAAGCTAGTGGATGTGATGGAATTCCAGTTGAGCTATTTCAAATCCTGAAAGATGATGCTGTGAAAGTGATGCACTCAATATGCCAGCAAATTTGGAAAACTCAGCAGTGGCCACAGGACTGGAAAAGTTCCATTTTCATTCCAGTCCCTAAGAAAGGCAACCCCAAAGAATACTCAAACTACGGCAAAATTGCACTCATCTCACACGCTAGTAAGGTAATGCTCAAAATTCTCCAAGCCAGGCTTCAGCAATACGTGAACCTGGAACTTCCAGATGTTCAAGCTGGTTTTAGAAAAAGCAGAGGAACCAGAGATCAAATTGCCAACATTCGCTGGGTCATTGAAAAAGCAAGAGAGTTCCAGAAAAACATCTATTTCTGCTTTATTGACTACATCAAAGACTGTGTGGATCACAATAAACTGTGGAAAGTTCTGAAAGAGATGGGAATACCAGACCACATGACCTGCCTCTTGAGAAACCTGTATGCAGGTCAGGGAGCAACAGTTAGAACTGGACATGAAACAACAGACTGGTCCCAAATAGGAAAAGGAGTACGTCAAGGCTATATATTGTCACCCTGCTTATTTAACTTATATGCAGAGTACACCATGAGAAACACTGGGCTGGAAGAAGCACAAGCTGGAATCAAGATTGCCAGGAGAAATATCAATAACCTCAGATGTGCAGATGACACCACCCTTATGGCAGAAAGTGAAGAGGAACTAAAAAGCCTCTTGATGAAACTGAAAGAGGAGAGTGAAAAAGTTGGCTTAAAGCTTAACATTCAGAAAACTAAGATCATGGCATCTGGTCCCATCACCTCATGGGAAATAGATGGGGAGACAGTAGAAACAGTGTCAGACTTTATTTTTGGGGGCTCCAAAATCACTGTGGATGATGACTGCAGCCATGAAATGAAAAGACGCTTACCCCTTGGAAGGAAAGTTATGACCAACCTAGATAGCATATTAAAAAACAGAAACATTACTTTGCCAACAAAGGTCTGTCTGGTCAAGGCTATGGTTTTTCCAGTGGTCATGTATGGATGTGAGAGCTGGACTGTGAAGAAAGCTGAGCGCCAAAAAATTGATGCTTTTAAACTGTGGTATTGGAGAAGACTCTTGAGAGTCCCTTCAACTGCAAGGAGATCCAACCAGTCCATCCTAAAGAAGATCAGTCCTGGGTGTTCATTGGAAGGACTGATGCTGAAGCTGAAACTCCAATATTTTGGCCACCTCATGTGAAGAGTTGACTCATTGGGAAAGACCCTGATGTGGGAGGGATTGCGGGGAGGAGAAGGGGACGACAGAGGATGAGATGGCTGGATGGCATCACCAATTATATGGACATGAGTTTGAGTAAACTCCGGGAATTGGTGATGGACAGGGAGGCCTGGCGTGCTGCGATTCATGGGATCGCAAAGAGTCGGACACGACTGAGCGACTGGACTGAACTGAACTGAACTGAAGGACAGTCTAGTAACACTAGAAAACTGAGCTATGTGCCTTATGGATTGTGGTGCCAGTATATAATTTCCCTGGAAGATAAAGATTCTACAGAGCAGACTAAGTCAGATGACCTGAGATATACTGGGCTACATCTAATGGAAGCTCTTAACTTAAGTCTTACTTGTGACTTTACTAATACTGCTGGCTATCTTATTTGTATTTCACCTATTTTACAAAATTGCCGTTTCTTACACTGCCAAATGTGTGTCTGAGGCCTCTGATAGAATAATATATAGTCCCATATGAGATCGATGATGGAAATAGTGTAACTCTAAATATGGGAAGAAGCAACAAGAAGGAATATTTTCCTGGACCAAGAGGCTAGTAAGACAGGTGGTCCAGAGAATTTTGGATACTGTTTTATGGCCTAGTCCAGTAACAACGCATTGAGTAGCCTGTCAAGAAAATCTTTGCCAAACCTGAGAATGGACATTCTCGGCACCATGGGATAAAATGGTCATTAAATGCCCCCCTCAAAATCATGGTCAAGTTTGAGCAAAAAGGGGCTCTGCCAACTGAAGACTGACACTTGCCATCTACATCTACAAAGATTAAATCATGGCCACTGCAACTGCTGACTTTCAAGGCCCCTGAAAGGAGTTCAGGGTGAAAATCAGGAATGAGGCACTCTGTGCTCTGGGAAAAACTGGCAGAACAGGCCTTCAGATAGTTAGATCCTTTCAGGAGCAGATTTTATGAGTTCCAATACTTGTGTCTTCTCATACCTAGAGAAACACTGACATCATTAATGGTTACATCTGCTTTGGCTATTAAAGAAAATTTTACAGTTAAAAAGTCAAAATAGAGTGGCTATGGTTCAGACATCCTGGGAAATAGGTAAGTGACACTATGGTGTAATTTCAGATTAGACCTTGTATTGCTAAACACGAGTTTTCTGAGTCATGTCAGCTTAGATGCCTCCATTCTCAAAACAATGTCTGCTGGAAGCTAGTAACTACCACCTTACTTTTTATAAAAACTAGGCAACTGGCTACCTGGCTACAAGTCTCCCCAAAGTGCCAGGTCCAGACTGGGTTTCAGGCCTATTCTTCTAAAAAGAAATGAGATTTATTTTGTCTATTAAAATTCCAGTTATCCCTCCTCCAGCTACTTCTAATTGGGTCTGTTACAACAAAATGGCAGACCAAGTGATTGAGATTTTAATCATACAAAGGCTCAGATCTAGGACTTGGAACTCAGGAATACTTCCAATTCAGTGTCTTCTCCAAGCTGAGGCAGTCCTATGCCCCATTTTGACAGGAAGTTATCACAGTCATAGTTGCCCAGTTCCCTAAATTAAAACTGAGCAGGACTCTGTGGGGCTCTGGAGTACAGATCTGCTGTGTGTTCTCCATTTCTTGTCTGTAGGATATAGGCTTCATTCAGCCTCCTTGACCTTCCCTGAGTTCCAAAGGGTGGATTCAAACAATTGCTAATCAGGGAAGGGAGGGGATACAGAAACAGAGGAGAAACAATCAAATGGTGGTACAGCCTCCAGACAGGGTCCTGGTTCCTACTCAAAGAAATATGCATAACAATGTCTTTGAGTTCTTCTACAGAACTGGAGCCCCCACCCAGGTGGAGGATGGTAACTTCAGACTAAACACAAGATTCCTGGAACACAGCTCTATTGCTTCACCACCAGCCAATCAACAACAACAAAAAGAAAAGTCACAAACCCTTCAACCCTCACCCCAAATGTTGCCTTCTGTTTCCGGGGACCAGAGATGGCCATCCTGTTAGGACTCCTGTTTGGCCCCTGTCTATTTCATCTCTGAGAGGAGCCAACAGTTTCAAACTAAATTGCTGTTATTTCAAGGGTGAAAGCTGGTTTCGGATGTGGAACACCCCAACTTAGATCAGGTAGAAAGAGACTTCTGCTCTACTAGGTAGGCCTACTCCCAGGCACAGCAGGAAGAAGTTACAGAAGAAAGAGACCTCCGCCCCAATTCCCAAGAAGTATCTTGAATATGGAGTCTCTCAGAGGGGAGTTGTTAGGGGAAGCACACTGACTGAAACCACCCACCCTGGCCAGGCCCTTTAGTAACCATTCACATGAGTTGTTTTATGACAGGAGATCCTGATAAGGAATACGGAACTGATAAGCCACCACCAACCAGAAGAGTTCGGGGAAAGGTCAAAAGGAGATACTGCACATCCGTCCACTTTCCAGAATCCCTCTCACTAGCATCCATCTTGGCTGAGCGATGCGTGCACCACCAGGAAAGACTCTGAATTAGAATGATTGGCAAAGACCACCCGGAAACTAATCCCATCACCATAAAACCCAAGACTGTGAGCCACGCGGCAAAGCAGTTCTCCTGGGTTCCCTTACCCTCCTGCTCTCCACCCGGGTGCCCTTTCCCAATGAAATCTCTTGCTTTGTCAGCACATGTGTCTCCTCAGACAATTCATTTCCGAGTGTTAGACAAGAGCCCAGTTTCGGGCCCTGGAAGAGGTCCCCCTTCCTGCAACACTACCATTATATGCGCCTGTAAGAAATGCTTAACAGGGGCCCAAGTTAAGATGAAAGAACAGCAGGCAGTAGCTCAAAGCCATTTGAAGAAATAAAGATCTCTCAAAAAAAGTGAACACATGGGCAATTACAAAAGCTGGTACCTCCACTTTTTATTTCCTATGTGATTATGGCCACACAGTGTATAAAGATGTGACATCAATAACAGAAAGGTAGGGGGAAGAGAATCAAGCTGTATAGGAAGAGTCTTTGTATTCTTTTGAAGTTAGGTTGGTATAAATTCAAATTGGATTGCTATAACTTTAGAATGTTAAGTGTAACCTCTTTTGAGATTTGTAATCAGTTTTTTTTACTTTAATAAAGTTTTATAGACTTCTGTTTTTAATTATCACTTTTTCTGTTTCATTTTTTTCCTTCATCAGATACATCCATAATTCTTGCATTGAATCTCTATCATTTTTTTCTTCTTTATCTATTATGCTCTTTCTCTTTATTTTTATCTTAAGTCATTTTTCTCTTAAATTCTTGGAGAATCTATCAAGTATTTCCTCCCTACAATAAAGATGCACAAAAGGAAAAATTGATCCACTCTTGGGACTTGGATGAGGGGAGTATCCAAGCTGCCAATTGAGTCCTGAGAAAGTCATTTGTCCGAGGATCCCACACACCCATAGATGATGAGAGTGGCTCTAACGCAGGGATCCACGAGGCCGAAGTGAAGTCTCCACTCTCTGCCTCCCCTACTACCAGCCCCACCGTCTTCTCCGATGCTGCATCTCAGTTCAGGAAACTCTAATGCCCAAAGGCTTTGCTGCCGCTTGTCTGTATCCCCACTTGAAAAGCTTTATCTGTGGCAATAATACCACCTCAGGTGCAACAAGTCTCTCATTCCCTGCATACCTTCCTCAACTCATTGTTAAATCAAGTGTCATAAAGGCTTTCTCCAATGTTTTCTTGAGTGAGTTTCATATTTTTAGCTCTTCTGTTTATGTCTTTGACGCATTTTGAGGGCTTTTTTTTTTTTTTAATGTTGTCAGGTAAGAGTCTAATTTTGTTCTTTTTGCACATGGATCTCTAGGCAGGGGCAGGGCAGAGGGCTTCCTGTTTATTTCCAGGTAATGAGAGTTGCCCTGTTCCTGACATCACGGCACTAGCAGTCACTAGAAAGTCCTCCCAATGCTATCACTAGTTACTCCCAGCTTTTGGTGGTGCTATTTTTAACCTTTTTAAAGCCCTCCTGAGAGACTGGTTTAAAGAAGCCTTAACTCCATCATTCATAGTTTTACATAAGACAAGTGCAAATAGCTTTCTTCCCTTCTATATATTAAATGCCTTTCTCATAGAAACTATGGCCCAAGTGTTAAAGAAACATTGAGTCCAGTCACAGCACAATATATGTTTGTGGAATGAACAATGGAATTCAAATGATCAGTTCCCAAGCATTTTATTTCTTCTATTCTGTCATATCAGATACTATATTTTAGTCACTTTCACTAAGCTAATGTGTTTAAAATGAAAATCAACTGTATGTAAACCAACCCTCTTGCCTGAATTAGAAAATACATTTCCTGACTTTGACAATTCACATAGAATAACTGAGAACAACTAAGAAGAGGAGGACAAAGACGTGTATTTTCTTCTCTGTAGTATCTTGCACAGAACCTAATGTGGGAACCATATGTATGGAAAATAGTGATTTTTAAAAAGGAGAGGAAAAAACACATGAATGAGAAAACACACGAATAAGAAAACTGTCCTAGAAATAATACCAAAAAACACACATTAAAATACATGTTCATTTCTGTTTTCAGCTATCCATTTAAGCACATAAAACTAATACAAAACCTGCTTTTCGATAAAATATTTTGTTTGGTCACCTGTTCATTTAGATGGGAAGTTAGGGATTTCAGGAGAGTTTCTCAGACAAGTTTTCACCTAACCAGTCCGTTGTCATACGTGACTTTCGAAAAACCCTGACGTATCATTACTTAAGGTTTAGGGTAAACTGCTAATAACAAGGGAATTAAAAAACTGCTGCAGCAGTGGCTGCAGCAAGGCAGAGATTTATGTCTTCACATGATAGCGCAGTGGGAATGGGAGGCCCCTGGGTGGGCAGGTGGCTCTCTCCCATGGCTTCATCCATCCCCTCAGGGGGTCGTCTTTGTCCACTTGCTCACAAGGCCTCACCAGCTTCACAACTGCACTCTGGCCCCGACCATGGAAAAGGCAGAAAGCGGAGGGCAAGTGTTTCTATTTGGGAAAATGATACAGATGTGTTGCATGTGTATTTTTTGTCCATATTCCAATGGTAAGGAAGTCATGTGACCATATCTGGCTCTAAGGAAAACTAGATTTGTTTCTAACATGCTATGTGGTGATTTCTAGTACTAAAAGGAAGAAAGAATGGATGTTGGAAGACAATTACTAGTCTTTTCCATTCTTGAAAAAAAAAGTTTAGTACAGTCATTCTTGCCTCAAAATTAAATTAAATAAGAAGGAAGCTACCACAAAGCTAAACCTCAGGGAGAATGTTGTGTATTGCCAAACATTAATACTTAAGGATGCACAGAGAGCTCTCTCAAGGTAGTTATTATTTGTCACACCGTTTATGAGCCATAGGAAAGCAATGAAGTTCACCTGAAAATGGACCTCGGACCTGCCAAGAGCACCTTCAGTTTTCCGGGGTTCCCTCTGAAAGTGCAACTCCGTTTCCTGCGCCTTGAGGAGGTGGGGGTTTCCCTGAGCACCGCCCTATAACTGGCATCTCGCTCAGCCTGCTCAGAGGCCACAGGCCCCTCACTGGCATCAAGTGAAGCTCAGCCTCTGTGTAAATCACCACACGTAAGGAAAACAGGGGGAGTTCTGAAGTTCAGGTCAAGAGCTGAACAGCGGGTAGGAGCTGGAAAATTCCTCTTCCTTTCCTGTTTGTACCTCCCTGAGAAGCCTTCCCATGGACTGACAGTATCAAAATAAGATCAGGAATTTCTTTTTAGACTCCCACATCCCGGGAGCATCCCATCAGTCATCGTCCTTGTTGTTCGGTCGTTAAGTGGTGTCCCAGGGCCCAGAGGCTGCGGCCGGAGCTCTGTGTCTTTCTAACCCAGGGAGGAGAGCCCACAGTGGGAGGCACGGCCTCCCTTGGTGACAGCTTTTAAGCAAAGCAACTTGGGCCTGGGCTTACAGGGTGGCTCTGGGACTCCCAACAGCTCCATCAACCCTTCCACCAGCCATAGGGCAGTCCAGGAAACCTGTACCCAACTTTCTTTCCCTCTCTCCTTCACTCAAGGTCAGATTTACATTGAGGTCTGATGACTCTCCCGTTTCCCCCCAACTCCCCTCCTATTTTCTTCCCCACAGGCACTTCCCCTAATAAAGCCCTGGCACCTTTCATCTCATCTTGGCATTTGGTGTCTGCTCCTGGAGGATGCAGACTTAGCACAGAGCCGTGACTTTGTTCTGACGGACAGATAACTTACTCTTCAAGTCAATCGGAACATCTGAGGCTTGTTTTTAGGCTTAGGTGGGCCAGGTCTCAAATAGCCTTTTCTTCTCAGGTTAGTTCAGCCTTACGACCAAGGAGTTTCCTCTCTGGGGTTTCTGATTAAATGCCCCAAAATTCAGCAAGTACTCGTCACTCTGGCTGGCTGGAACCTGAATATCCTCCAGTCTTTTATGAACTCTGGAATTAATCCTCTTACAGCTTCCTGTTTTTTGTTTTGTTTTCTGGCTAGCTTCATGGCATTTTAGCCTATGCACGTGCAGCTAAGTATGCAGCAGTTGACCCAAGGGAGTCCTGTGCTGAAAGGACAAGAGGAAATGGTTTTGCTGGCTCAGTGGCAAAAAGTCTGTCTGCCAGTACAGGAGACACGGGTTCGATCCCTGATCTAGGAAGATACCCTGCAGAAGGAAATGGCAGCCCTCCAGTATTCTTGCCTAGGACATCCCTTGCACAGAGACCCTGCTTCTCCATGAAGGTTCCAGGAACCGCACCTCTGCCTTTTCCTATTGGCCTCTCTTTCTGCAGGGAAGCTAAGAGCAAGTAGGTTAATGGGATGTCCTGTAGTTCCTGACCTGGCAGTTCATCTCCAGGCCACAACTGGAACTCATCCCCTCCCTCCTCCACCATTTATGCTGAATTCCCTTCACCCTCAGCAGGTCTAGTGGCTCATCTGATAGTAGGAACCAAACCTTCACTCCCAAGATTGATGGTGTGATGATCACTCGATCACCACACCTTTCTCAGTCTGGGGCTGGTGTGCATGTCCACTCACAATTACAGTGGGGCAAGGAAGTACCTCAAGTGCCCAACTGGATCATGATACTGTTCCTATTGCATAAAAGCATCCTGTCTCTTCCCACTGATCAGGGTCAGTTAGCCCTGCCAGCATGGCAACGCCTCTGTTTGCTGGCTAGCCCCTGAGCACAGTGAGTCCAAAGTACTCTGTAGCCGCCATAGCAATGGTTCAACAGTACCCTTGCTGAGTCCTGTAGGAAGAGTACACCTGCTTAGGGCACTGGGACTTCCAACCACACACAGAACCCAGTTTGCAGAGATGAGAAATACAAATTTCCTCATGAGACCCCGGAAGGAATAGTAGTTAGGGCCATCCTGTTTTTGTTGTTTTCCATACTGAACCCTTCCAACTGGGGAAACAGCACATTAGAGGTCTCTGATTTAATAAATCGACTGCACTCTGAAGGGTGAGACCCCATCCTCTCAGGGTTTCCTTCAAGGCAGCAGCTGAATTAAACTTTAGAAGGCCTGTCTAGCCTCCCATTATAAGGGATATTATATATCCTAACGTAAGGTCAGGATATTATATATTCTAAAATAAGGTCAGCTGCCTCTGGATGTTGCAGTATGTGCTGCAGCCAGTGAATCCCGTAGGCAGAGGCATCTGCCATGATCTTGTTACTGCAAAGTGGGTCCCCACGTTAGATGCTATGCTGTGTGGGATGCTCTGTCTATGGATCAAGGGTTCCCACAGCCCCTAGATAATGGTTCTAGCCAAGGCAGCAAAGGCAAACCCATACTTCAAACAGATTACCTATCCTTGTGAGAATGGGCCACTGGCCTTTTCAAAATAATTGTTCA